GAATTTACGAAGCCGATATACCTTCCCACAACCATAGCAACCATTCTTTCAGGTGCTTGAATGTTAAAACATCGTTATAGACCAGAAGACTATTCCGGGTTGCTGCAGGTATGATAAGAAACAACCTGGAGGTTCTTGGGATCAGTGAAACAATTTCGATGCAGATTGGAAAACTAAGAATAGCCTTAGGAGAGCTGCTGTCATACTCCGGCCATGAAGCATAAAATCCCTCACACACAATGAGTTGCATTGTTGCTGTCCAAACAAGCACAAAAGGCACTGATAGCATCGGGAATCTCATGGACCCCGGATCATTAAAGCATCCTTCAAAACAAGGGAACAGGGCATTACGACGAACATCACCCAGTAATATGCACCAACCACTTACTTACTTACGCCTATTACACACAATCGAGCATAGGCCGCCCACCAGTTTTCTCCAACCAACTCTGTCTGCCCTGGACTTCCTTCTCCAGTTCTGTCCAATGTTTGTTTATTCCTCTCATATATTTCTCTATTTCTCGGCGTAATGTATTCTTTGGCCTTCCTCTTTTCCTTTTGCCTTGAGGGTTCCATGTGAGGGCTTGTCTCGTGATGCAGTTAGGTGCTTTTCGTAGAGTGTGTCCTATCCACTTCCACCACTTCTTCCTGATTTCCTCCTCCACTGGAATCTGGTTTGTTCTCTCCCACAGTTCATTGTTGCTGATCGTGTCTGGCCAACGAATCCGAAGTATTTTGCGTAGACAGCTGTTAATAAACACTTGTATCCTCTGGATGATGGCTTTCGTAGTTCTCCATGTTTCCGCTCCATACAGTAAAACTGTCTTCACATTTGTGTTGAAAATCCTTATTTTGGTTTTGGTTGAAAGTTGTTTGGATTTCCAGATATTTTTCAACTGTAGAAATGCAGCCCTCGCTTTGCCAATCCGTGCCCTCACATCTGCATCAGATCCACCTTGGTTGTCGATGATGCTGCCCAGATATGTAAAGGTGTTAACGTCTTCCAAGGCATCCCCATCAAGAGTGATTTGATTGGTGCATGTTGTGTTGTATCGGAGAATTTCGCTTTTTCCTTTATGTATGTTGAGACTGCTGCTGCAGAGGCTGCTGCTACACTGGTCGTCTTCTCTTGAATTTGTTGTTGAGTGTGCGATAGAAGAGCCAAGTCATCTGCGAAGTCCAGGTCGTCCAGCTGCGTCCTAATTGTCAAGTTGATACCGTGCTTCCCTCCAGATGTTGACGTTTTCATAATCCAGTCGATGGATGACCAGGAGAAAGAGAAAGGGTGAGAGTAAGCAACATTGCCTGACACCGGTCTTCACCTCGAAAGAGAGTCTGTTAGCTGTCCTTCGTGCACGATTTTGTAGTTGAATCCATCATAAGAGTTCCGTATGATGTTGACTATTTTCTCAGGCACACCGTAGTGTAAAAGAAGCCCCCACAGTGTTTTCCTATCCACGCCATCGAATGCCTTCTCGTAGTCTATGAGGTTGATGTAGAGTGGTGAGTTCCATTCAATTGATTGTTCCACAATGATCCGTAATGTTGCAATTTGGTCGGTAAACGAGCGATCCGTACTGAATCTAGGTTGTTAATCTTAAAGTTGGATGTCTACGAAGTCCTTCAATCTGTTTAGCAATACCCTGTTGAAGACTTTGCCTGGTATTGAAAGAAGAGTGATGCCTCTGTAGTTCTCAAACTTGCTCAGATCGCCTTTCCTTGGTATTTTGATCAGGTATCCTTCTTTCCAATCTGATGGTACTTGTTCCTTATCCCAAATCTTCTTAAAGAGAATGTGAAATATTTTCGCAGTTGCTTCCACATCTGCTTTCATTGCCTCTGCTGGAATGTTGTCTGGTCCTGCTGCTTTGCCGCTCTTGATTTGTCTGATGGCCATACTGATCTCCTCAATTGTAGGTGCGCCAATATTTATTGGGAGGTCCGTGGATGCTGCTTCGATGTTGGGTGGGTTCAGTCAAGCTGGTTGATTCAGGAGTTCCTTAAAGTGCTCTACCCACCTATTTCGCTGTTCTTCAGTGTTGCTGATTACTTTGCCTTCCTTGCTTTTCACTGGTCGTTTTGGTTTACGATAGTTTCCAGAGAGCTTCTTTGTTGTTTCGTATAATTGCCTCAAGTTTCCGTCTGTTTTAGCCTTTTCCGCCGTCATTGCTAGATCTTCCACATATTTTCGTTTGTCGGCTCTGATGCTCTTCTTCACTTCCCTGTTTGCTTCTGTGTATTCAGCTTGTGCGGTAACTTTCTCCGCTCTTGTTCGGCTGACATTGATTGCTGCCTTCTTGTTCCTCCTTTCTTCAATTTTTTCAAGAGTACCAACAGAGATCCATTCCTTGTGATGGTGCTTCTTGCGACCAAGGACCTCCTGACATGTTGAAGTGATTGCCTCCTTAATCCCTTTCCAATTGTACTCATATGTTGTGTCCTCTCCATTGTGTAGATCCTGAAAGGCCTGGAACCTATTGGTGAGGGCTATCCTGAATTCGTTGAGCTTTACAGTATCCTGAAGAAAGGCCGTATTAAACTTCTGTGATGTCTGCAAATAAGAATAGACCTTAAATGTATCAATAAAAAGTTCAGAGGGACGATAGGAAACGTGAGAATCAGGAGAGGAGCTGACATAAAATAAAACCTTTGCTTGGTAGCGGCCAAGATGAAACTGGAACTAAAGAAGCACAAGACAGCAGGGAGGAAAAGACCACAAAATTCTAACAAAACCTATAATCGGGTTACTTATAAACTCAACGAAGTGAAGATAGACCTCAATAATAGATTCATGGCCTTCCGCGATCGAATCAATGGAGAGAAAACTACCTTCAACAGGGTATTGTTAAACAGATTGAAGGACTTCGTAGACATCCAACTTTAAGATTAACAACCTAGATTCAGTACGGATCGCTCGTTTACCGACCAAATTGCAACATTACGGATCATTGTGGAACAATCAATTGAATGGAACTCACCACTCTACATCAACCTCATAGACTACGAGAAGGCATTCGATGGAGTGAATAGGAAAACACTGTGGGGGCTTCTTTTACACTACGGTGTGCCTGAGAAAATAGTCAACATCATACGGAATTCTTATGATGGATTCAACTGCAAAATCGTGCACGGAGGACAGCTAACAGACTCTTTCGAGGTGAAGACCGGTGTCAGGCAATGTTGCTTACTCTCACCCTTTCTCTTTCTGCTGGTGATCGACTGGATTATGAAGACGTCAACATCTGGTGTGAAGCACGGTATACAGTTTACTGCTCGGATGACTTGAACTCCGCAGATGATCCGGCTCTCCAATTCTACATACAACAACAAATGCAAGAGAAGACGACCAGTGTAGCAGCAGCCTTTGCAGCAGTAGGTCCCAACATACACGAATGGAAAAGCAAGATTTTGGGCTACAACACAACAAACACCTACCACACTATATTTGATGAAGATGCCTTGAAGGATCTAAAATCCTTCACATATCTTGGCAGCATAAACGATGAGGAAGTTGGATCTGATGCGGAAGCGCGGATCACGAAAACTATGACCACAGTCCAACAGCTGGAGAACATCTGGAACTCAAAAAAATTATCAGCCAACGCGAAAGTCACGATTTTCAATACAAATGTCAAGACAGTTCTACCGCATGGGGCGGAAACTTAAAGAACTATCAAACCCATGAACTCGAAGATACAGGGGTTTATTAGCATACACCTACGGATCCGTTGTCGATACATCGTCAGCAACAAACTAGTGTGGGAGAAAACAAGCCAGATCCCAGTGGAGGAAGAAATCAGGAAGAACCTCTGGGTGTGGATAGAACATAAATTGAGGAAGCGCCTAACTACTTCACAAGACGAGCCATCTCTTAGATCTCTCAGTGTCAAATGAAAACAGGTAGGCCAAGGAACACATTACACCGAGAAACAACGACAGACATGAAAAGAATGAACAAAAGCTTGACGGAATTGGAAGTGGAGGGTTAGGACAGAGTAGGTTGGTCAGCGCCTATGCTCCATTCGGGGGGAACAAACGTAAGTAGGTTAGTAATTTAACTGAGGATCCCAAGAAAAAAATGGCAGCCTTCCTAGACGTTTCAAAACCGTCTGTTGTTAAACAAGACATTAATCAGATACGGCTGAATATTGCTTCTTGCCTGGTTTTCTATATAAGAACGTGTAAAGCATGGGATTGATAATAATTCTGAAACTGCATTCTGGGCAAAAGATCAGTCCTGGAAACTAGGTTGTGGCAATATCACACTTTGGGATCTGCAAACAGCTTGGATGAAAGCTCATGTCTCATTATCAACCAACTTTCATCGTAGTAAAAGGAGTCAAATAGTACTGTCTTTCGAGAAGCTGTAATTAACTCATGGGCTATATCTCTCCCAGAAGTGGGTTTTCAGCTACAAGCTTTTTAAATTAGCACTTTCATAATTTCATGAGAAACTTCTCAATATTCCATGGACACAAGGCGATACAATCTTTCTTCAAAAGTCTAACAATAAGTAATCCCCTCATGGTTTCCAAAAAACCAACTGATTATGCTAGCTTACTTCCAACTTTAACGTGCTCATTGTAGATGCGGATGCTTTGTCAAGAATAAATTACTTGTCTCACCTCCCTTAATAAATTATTGCTACTTCGGTCCTAACTATAGATATTTGAAATGATTATATTAAACGACCAGCTTTTACCAACGTTGATGTTTTAAAAGCAAAATTTAAATTAACTACGCGATGGGAGTTATTTTTATACATAAAACATAGCAACAAGGGGTATTTGCAGAAGACTAGTGCTCTGTGTTATAGTACATTTAAAGCCAAAGTCAGCACGAGTTCATGCTCAGGCCGCTAGTTTTAAGTTTGCCTCGGATTAACTCTCGATACGTCTGTTTTAAGTATACGAAGTGTTGTTACTCGTTTGTTATGACTAGTCCTGAAGACCTTAGTAGTGTAGTATGTACAATCTTTATTATCAGTGTATTTCTCTTAGGAAATACAAGCTTTCATCAATAGAGTCAAAAGCTTACCTGGTGGAACTAACATCCAACAAGATGAAGCTGAAAAAGCTGCTCATTTGTACCTCAGAGCTCGCAAGAGAGATGTAGAACGTGCTGTGGAATTGTATAAAGCTAACAAGGTATGGCTAAATTGCTTTAAAGTTCTACTCATCATCGCTTTTAACCATGTTGTTTCTAACATGAAGACACATATTTGATATAAAATCATTTGCAAATTATAGTCTTAACTCGTACTCTAGTTTTTATTTATTGTTAGTCGGCGTTATGTTAAATACACAAACTATTCCTAGTTCTATTCATGATAGAACTGCATAGTTTATTTACCAAAGTAATCAGTGTCCGGTATAATTTGATGACAATATTGTTGAGTCGGTCCTGTTTATTATGTAGCCCCAGTGGATAAGTGTTGATACTTGTCGCTCCATCATAACTGTCTAGTTGGAGTCCCAAAAATATAACTCTCACTTTAATTTCATCCGAAATGGTCTAAAGTAAAGGTTTAATGTGACCGTGCAATAATTTTCCTTCATTTCGTAAAACTAATGGAATCTTTCACACAAGACATTCCTCATATTTTTTTAACTGGGCGGTTTATACTAGTAATAAATATCCTCTCTTATGTCTTCATTAAGTTGTCTTTGATATTGTTTCCCTTTCCTTTGTCTCTTCACAATCTCATTCTCTTATTTGTGCTTCGCATATTTAATTTGGTAGCTATTTGTACCAGTGTGTCCAAATATATAAACGAATAGGACGAACTCGCCGTGTGTAACTTTCATATAATACGGCCTATGTAAGTTCGCACTACCCTTATGTAACTGTCCCCCTTTAACTAGGCCAGTCCGAGTTTAGTGTTCTTTACTTAGACGTAAAAGAACAGGAAATAGCTTAAATATACCAGTAATATAATGCCTATAACCTTCTGATGTTGCCTAAATAAACTACTACCGTAACGCCTGTGACGAAAGGTTCATGCGACGATAAGACAATATATTTGTAACTATTCTGCGCAATAACTATAATGTATATTACAGGTGTTATATCCATTTCATTATTACCAAAACTGTCAAAAGAAGTAAATAAATCCCTTTATAATGTACGTATGATCATGTATTTAGTTTTTGAATCCTCTCCATTCAAACACTTCACTCAGTGTGATTCAATAATCTGAAACGTTCCCAGCTACTTAACTTCAAACTACCTGTTGTATGAGAGTTAGAGGTATCATTGAGCTGCTAAAATTAAGGTAGTGCAGAACTTTAATTTGTTGTCAACACGCTCTTTTTTGATCAAATCTATTCAGTTTATTTCACTGGTACTTGTTGCTGAGGTTTGGTGGATTCTATGCACTTTAGGGATATCCTTTTGCTTTCGATAAGTACTTTTCTCTCAGTTTTCCTTTATTTAATCAGCGTTTTAAACTCTACTTCAGCAACCACCAAAGATTAATTTAACTGGCATAATTTTTAGTCCCCTATATTTATGTTACCTTATCGCTATAATAGTCAATTCTATCCCATTCACTTATGTAACCAGAATTATTCGAGGCGGCGAAAAGGCGATATTGAGACTGTAAGTCAGTAAATCCTATCCTTACTTTTTAGATTCTCATATTTAGTACAATGCCATTAACAAATAACAGGCAATTTAATATCGTTTTCGAGCAAATTCATCAATTTGCTGCAATTATACTGACCTCTAAATTATCAGAATAATCGATTTCCTGAATTTGTGAAGATACGTAACTAATCATCTATTTAATTTACAACTCAGAACATATCAATCTGATACTCAGTGTTTTTGATGCTCACTTTGCTATATGTCTTATTGGAATTAATCGGCATTGAAACTTGATTTCCAAACTTCTATCAAAAATTTTTATGGTTGTATCATCGAAATACGAAACTACGTTTGTTGGTTCAGGTCAATGTTTATCTGGTATAAACAGTTCAATTTCGAACTACTCCATTTCTTTACCTCAAATATACATAACAAATATACGATACAATACTGTAACGAATTCAGGATGATATGAGTATATTAACCAAAACAGACCAATCCCATAATATGTTATAATGTCATCCACTTGCCAATTACAGGTTTGTATGTTCAGCTTCGAAACACACTGTGATCACTAGTAATACTACCTCCGGCTGTGTAAACCGAAGCAGGCCTATCGGGGTTCGAACACATGACCCGCTAAATGACTGCCAAGTGTTTTGACTCAAATACTAAAATAGAAATAGAACTAAAGCATTTGTGAACCGGTTAACTAATTCAATATCAGTATTGATCGATAGATATCGATTTAAAGGAATTAATGGGTGGAAAATCTTTTGGAAAACAAGCTTAATCGATTCAAACTTCAAATTTCATGATTCGCGTCATATCCACGCTCGATTGATGTTTATGGTTCCTTCAATTGATTTTATGTATTAAATACAGGAAATTGAAAAAAGTAAGCTCTTCTTATCAACGGAAATTCAAGTAGTTGCATGTAGTTTAAAGGTTATATTGTGTAAAAGAGGACTGCACATGGTGTAACTTCAGTATTTATCGAAATTTCATTCATAGTGACTACATGCACCATTAATCAATACTCATAGCACTGCAAATAAATGGATTCTTAGTACAAAACTTGTAGAGAAATCATATAAACGAAGGGATGTGGGCAAAGGTTAAAAACCCTGAAATATATATAGCCATGCTGGCTGGTTGGGGGTTGGAAGTAGGTTAGAGGCTACCAAAACTAAATGTAACATCAGTACATGAGGTCACTGACTGTTGGTCTAAGACAAGTAGCAGGAACAGACTTCCTGATCTAGGTCTGTACGGTTATCACGATCAATAGTTGGAAATGTTAAGTTTCATGGCTGGAAATCAATACAAATGTGTTCACTATTTTCTTTCTCATCATTCTTGAGTTCCGAAGTCATAATTTCCATAACGAGAATTCACCCTCTTTTCTTAAATCTTTGTTTAATCTTTTTTACTACCACTGATATTACAGCTATTACTATTCTGACATTTGTCTTAACAATTTCGTCTCATTGTACTTATATAATGTGTCAATCAACTTAACTGGATACTCATATGTTCCAGGTTCTATGTTATCTGTGATTAACTGGAATGTTTTAGTCATATCTACCACATAGGTACTATCAAATGGATGGAAAAATACAGCTACATTTAGTTACCAATGTAATCATTCTCTTTATTAATATATACTTCCATCAGATACTGAGAAATTATTAAGTCGGTGATTAGAATACTCATCTTTCTTTAAACTACTAGATCGGAAGTTTAAAACAAAAGTCCATCTGCTTCGTTACGGGAATCAAACAACACTATCACTATCCTTCATACACATAGTATTATTTAAAGTCGTGATTACAATAAACCTCATATTTAATGACCCAGTTAGTTTGTTCCTCATATATGCTCACTAACTTTTCCTGCAGTGAATAATATCTACTCAATTTTATTCTATTAATTGCTTGAACCATGTTAAGTGTTTTGTTAATAAGGAAAAAAAAATAATTAAAACTACTGATTGTCTATTTTTTTTTCATTGGTTTCCTATTTTTCAGCGAATGCGCTATACCGAAAATGTAGATTCAATCGATCCTTTAGAAGATGGGGTTCGACGTGAACTTCTATCTGGCAAATTTACTGTATTAGTAAGTTTGATTGCTAAATAATTTGCGATTTCCCTTTCGTTTCGTTGGAACTTCTTTTATTATACACTTTTATTCAGCTTGTTATTTCATCAAATTAATAAATAGTCTATTTTTTTAGTAGTAGTAGTAGTAATAGTCAGTTGTAACGTACAACTCGGTGCGTGCGTATATCAGTTCAAGTTGTCATGCCACATTAGCACCCGTAACAGCAAACGAGTAGTAATAATAGGATCTTGATTAAGGTTGGCTTTATGTATGTTTGTTCATTTTTGTATGTTTAAACTTGTATACAACACGGTAGTGCGTGTCCGACCTCAAGCAGTCTTCCCTTACGCTCTGCAGTCACGCTCCGAGGTCACTAAGACCAACGCTAACCCAACTTCCTTTCCAGGATACTCAACAAGTACCTTTCTGCGGTGTGAGAAAGCGGCAAAAGACATCCACCTTCATACCCGTTACAACACACGAAATCGACTGGTTCTCAGTCAAATTCTCACTCTACCTCTTAATAACTATTATCTCCACAACTATCCCTTCCCGTATACCGTCATCACCTCATGCCGCTAATGCTAATGAGTTGAGCATACGAAATGTTATTCCTGGAACTAAGCTGTAAACAACATGTCCGAACCCTTTGCCAAATAGCACAACAGACTCCCTTAGTAAGGACTTTATAGTCTCGCGCCATCGATGTTTGCTGTTTCTATAAAACGCTCATACAGAATCCAAATACAAACATTCATTTGAACCGTCGCGATTATCCGTAAGCCCCACGACTGCTTCCTTTGGCGTCGCTGGTGTAGGTAAATCATTGATTTCTGAAGCAGAACTACCTCTTTTAAACTGGATTCCAGTTAATAATCGCTTGTTCGCTGCCCGACTACACGGGTCAGTAAGAACTGGGAAAGATAGGGACACTTACCGTTACTTCGTTGTCCCTGTCTACGCTCCCATTTATTTCAATCCAGGTGATATAAAAGATGACACAGATGCACCCACTTTGTGTCTTTTATTAAATTCTAATCCTCTGAATTGCCCGTAACCTCTCAATCACCTGACTGAAATGTATTTCTCGAATCATATCTTCGAAACTTAGTCTTCTCCATTACTGCCAATGCTTCCACTACCTCTTCTACCATTGCATTTGGCTTGACGATTCCATATCTCTGTGCTAATATGGTATGACAACTTGAACAAATTGATGTGCATACGTACCAAGTTCTACGTTGTAATTGACTGACAGATATATGTATATATGTACTTATTTCATTACGTAATATCTTAAAACCATTAGCTTATTTTTTCTCCTCTAAATATTTTCATGTATCCATTCTGTTTTTTGTTTAAATTATCTTATAAGTATCAATTTGATTTAGTTCAAACATGTTGTAGTGTGATGTTTAAAAGTAAAAGAATAAACAACACACATACACACACTGTAAACCACCAGTTACTAGTATTTGCATCTTAGATATCTTCAACTGATTGATAGGAATTAAGTGAATTGAGTAAACAATATTGAAATTCACACATAAGGGGGGGTGTGTGTTTCACAATATCAAAATGATGGTATAAATTTGAAATCATCATTCAATCAATCATTGTTAGACCACCATTAGAAACCTGGAATCACTGGACGGCCGTTTCGTCCTGGTATGGGACTCATCAGTGACAGTGCGCATCCACAACTCATGCACGTCGCAGGATTTGAATACGGGACCTTCTAACGCCTAACGTCTGGACCACTGGGCCGGCATCCAATGGTGTTAGTGTCTAATTCTCATCAATCTAGAGATTTTGCGCAACTTCACCCACGTGTCTTAGGTAGTTACTGCCTACACCCGACAGGGTTGAACCCCATTGGTCACGTCTTCTCACTGGAACTCCGGGAATTTCCTCACGAAGTTAGTCACTAGTTAGCAGGAGTCGTGGATGCACACTGCTGAGTCAGTCCCATACCAGGATGAAACAATCTCCCAGTGCTTCCAGGTTTCCAATGATGATCTAACACAATGATTGATTGATGATTTCAATGCGCGAAAAAAAACATTCATCACCATAACTCTAATCGAAGATAGTATAAATGTTAGACAATGAATTTTGTGAGTATTTATCATTACAATGTGTAATAACAAACAATTTTGTCTGATGCATATTTTTATTCCTTGACATTAGATTGGATGTTGATTTTCACACGCGCACTCACACACACACACGCGCACAGCAATTGACTTTTAGTTAAAAGCTACAGCTGTTTTTTCTTTTAATAACTTCCAATATGGTAGGTAACTAGTCGCTGGTTTAGTGCAAACATGTTGTAGTGTGATGTTTAAAACTAAAAGAAAAAACAACACACATACACACATACACACACTGTAAACCACCAGTTACTAATATTTTCATCTTAGATATCTTCAACTGATTGATAGGAATTAAGTGAATTGAGTAAACAATATTGAAATTTACACATAACAGGGGTGTATTTCACAATATATAAATGATGAATTCTGAGAATATTCATTCAAATATTCGCTCCGTCCTAC